CTCAAAGTGGGTTCCTCGTCATCGAATTTGAAAACATTAGAATAGTTATAAACACCAGTAAGTTGGTGTTTATGTGTTACAATGATATAAAGTTAAGATGAGCATGTGTGCAGCACATCATAAACAATAATTCTCACATCAGGTATGATGTTATACAAGTGTTTTTACATTGAAGAAATGTAATTCATCAGGTTCTAGATAAAATAATGCAACAGGGAGGGACTAACAATACTTAAAGAAGTGTTTTAATATTGTCTAATTTTTGAAAAGAATGTAAGAAATATTACATTGGAAATAATAATTTTATTAGATTTCACTGTTTCAAAACAAACCACAAATTTCTACTGAAAATATTGTTTACAGTATATTTTTTAAAAACTGGTTTGACCAGGATTTCCTGAAAAAGATGTTTGTTTTCTTCTTTAAATAAAATGTAGTTACCAGTGAAAAACTATGATATAAATTGACCACTTTCAGTACTATGGATAATTCTTATCAGTTATTAATAGAATTAATCAATTAATTGTCAGTACAATAATACTTGTGTAATTGGAATAATTCAGATAAGTAATAATTGGAAATACTATGTTCAATTAGTTGATTATTTTTGTGAGTCACGAGACTAACCAGTAAAGGTGAACAACCTTGAATTAATAAAACATATTAATTAGAAATCATTATTGCAATATTTTGTTTACTTGGAATAACAACAAAAAATATTAGGAAAAAAAACTAATTTTGTTTATTTTTGTCCTGTTAATCGATTTAATCAAGGGTAATTGACTGTATTGGTTAATCAAGTTAATTGCCTAGTTCTATTTATTAAAACTAAATTAAACAATTGATTATAAAATTTTTGAAACACTGATACTTCAATGAAAATATATCTGTTTTGATTGAGCAGAACGTAGTGTTCATTTATAACGCTTTCCACATACATAAAAATTCTTGGTTCAACTATTTGCTTTGGTGGAATCTTTGCTTATTGAGTTTTTTATAATTAGAATATATTCATTTCCTTTTATTATCTCTATAAATCTATTTTTTATGTTTGTTATTTGATTATGTAATCATAAGCATAATTTCTGTTTCAGAATTAATTGTTACTTGTTCATGGCTAATTATTTTTAACATATTCTAATTGTATTAACTTAAAGCATGTTTTGGTTTCAGGCGAAGAACTACCAGGCTACAGGTAATATGTTTATTAAAATAAATTGTAACAATAACTTTTCCATATATTAGTCTGAAAAGTTACATGACATTAAGATTTTGTTTGAAATGAAAATAGTTACATTTCTTTACACATATTTTTACAAATTATATATTTCTTAACAGTATACTGATGTTGTCAGTTTCTTTTAAGCAAAAACTTATAAATTAATTGCTTCGAAGAGCTGTAACTTTTTTATTGTACCAAAGACTATAAGTGAGCTAACCCAAAACATCAGTTTCCATTTAATGGAGATATAGACACACGAAAAGTCATTATGAATATCAGATTTTAGCTGAGGAACCAAATTCGACAACTTTCTAGCTATATGAGATACAAGTGAAAATGTTTATGTCTAAAAAGACTTTTGTATTGTTTAAGTAATCAAAAAAATGAAAATCTTTAATATTCAATACATTGTCTATGTACTGCAAGTTAGACTACATATCCTGAGATACTATAATCAGTGTATTAGTTTACTGAAAATTAGACCTACACACCTTGATATCTTGCTATCATTTTTTATCATTCTTGTTCCCTCCAATTTTCTGGAAACCAGTAGAGCTTGCAGCTTGCACTTTTTTTTACTAAAAATTTAATGACATTATCAAACAAATTATTAAATTTGAAAAGTAGTGTCATAACCTTAGATGTTATTAAAAAGTAACTTCATTAGTAACATTGCTACTAGTAACAATGTTGCTGCCCAAAAGTGCTGGCTGCCTTCCCTCTGGTCAGTAATTCAAAATTAAGAATGGATATACCTGAAGCCTAGGGGTTTCTGAACTGGCTGTTAGCTCACATGCATATAAGATGTCAATCAAGTTTGAAAATACAAGTACCTTTTTAATTTAAGGGTGATTTGGAGTAAGTTTGAATCCACTAATTCAAAAGCAAATATATCAGTAAATATGGCCTGGCATGCAAATATAGCTCAATTTTCAATTTTGATTAGGCTATTGCTTCAATAATGTACATTTACCTTTTTGGTTTTAATTATAAAGAAAATGGTGTAAGAAAGATGTAGCATGTTTCCAAATACATAATCTGTTTCATGTCGGAAAACTTGGCACACTAGTGGCAAGTTGTTGTTGATGTAAAAATTATACTTACCAAATTGCACTGTTTCAGATGTGCGTGTGTGTGTGTGTGTGTGCAAAATAATCTTCTTAAAACCATTATAATAAGCAATTACTGTAAAAAAACTTTTTTTGGTAATAGAGACAAAATTCAGTTGTTTAATTTAAAATTTGAACTTAAAGTATAATAGTTTTTTGTTTTATTTAATATTTTACATGATAGAGCTGTTTATATTACAGTAAAAGTCTTTTTGGGATGTTGGGAGTCTGCTGTTCGAAAGGAAAAATTATTAATTTGGTGGTGCATAAGTTTTACATTAATTATATTTTTTGTTGGGAGGATGAATGTTTGTGTGTTAATTGCCTTTCTTCTAGGTTTGTGTATTTTGCGTTACTTGGTGTATTTGTAGTTGTTATGATTCAGTATTAAAGGTTGAGAATTAGTGAAATAATATAGAAAGTCGTTACGTTTACCATTGTACAATTAACTTATTGGTTGTATAGGTTAATTGGTTTTCCAGGTTTTCTACACATAAAACTCTGACATTCAACCTCAGTGTGAAGATTGTAGAAGGTTAAAAACATAAATGATCCATTTTTTAAAAGACAGAGTAAGTAGAAAACAGTTAAAAAGATTAGAGACTATCTGAACTGGAAGACTTGGGAGAGTGATGATGTCTTTCTACACATCCGTATCAGGTTCTTGAACAACTAAAAACTGGAATCCACCCAGTCATAACTGTGCAGTATGAAATAATCAGTCATGAGAGCTACCCATCATGGCCACCATATAGACACCAAATATAGTTAAAACCACATAGGTAATGAAAAAATCAAAATTAAGTAATAAGTTGAACAATTGTACAGTTTACAACCTGTTGTAAATTGTATGATCTGACGAAGAGTGCTTAGCCCAAAACGTCATCCTTCTTTAAATAAATATATATAAAAACTTGGTGATTGTTCAACCTATTATTTAATTTTCACCATATAAACACCACCAAGAGTTCCCTATCATGGCCACCATATAAACTCCACCGAGAGTTTACGATCATGGCCACCATATAAACACCACCAAGAGTTCCCCATCATGGCCACCATATAAACACTACCGAGAGTGCCCCATCATGGCCACCATATAAACACTACCGAGAGTGCCCTATCATGGCCACCGTATAAACACCACCAAGAGTTCTCCATCATGGCCACTATATAAACACCATCATGAGTTCCCCATCATGGCCACCATATACACACCATCATGAGTTCCCCATCATGGCCACCATATAAACACTACCAAGATTTCCCCATCATGGCCACCATATAAACACCAGTGAGAGTTCCTCATCATGACCACCATATAAATGCCACTGAGAGTTCTCCATCATGGCCACCAAACACAACACTACACTAAGAACCTTTTCTTTTTCCATCATCTGTGTTTTACAAGCAGGTTACCCATTGAACTTTTCCTTACTGTGTTCCAACTGTTAACTTTATCAATTTTTCAAACATAGCTCATCTATATATATGTGTATGTATATAAGTATGTATATGTCAAAAATCAAAAACAACAACATTTTTTGTAACTGTAGTTCCTTTGCACTGAAATTAAATTTCTTATTATTTCTATCAGAGGAAGCTCTCCAGGCAGGCCACTTTCTTATAGTGTTTCCCCCAGTGATTGTCAACTCAACTCTAGTCTATCAGGTAGGACAATATGTTGAGCTTATTATTGAAATTATTCTGATTATATTTTGAGCAAAAGAAAATTGGATTACAAGTAAAATGTGCTAAATATTATGTTTATTGAATTGTATAATTATATATATATATATATGTGATGTATACATATATATATAGTTACTTATTTACTACAGGCTCACAGTAAAACTAACCACCCTTTTAAGCTATAATAAAGTCAAAGGAAGTTTGATATTAACAGATACCTAGATTTAATTTTATGTTTATTATTTATGTTTAGATTTAAGAAATTATCAGTAAAGTTAAAATGATAATTCACATTATATTGTAAATCAGTCTGAGGATGAAGACCTTGTACTGACTGACTTACACAAGTCGGGTCCAACCTTCAGATTACTTGTTTGTTAAGTAAGGTGAGCATGCTCCAATTTCAACTGCTGGAGTTTCAATACACATGGAGTAAACTGAAATGGTTTTATTATGTGTTATTTGCTACTATTTATGGTCAGTCTTGAACAATAACATGGTTGAAAGCTGTTTTTAAAATGTACATGTGGAAATGGGTCACTAAAATGTCTTTCAGTGTAACAGAAAATCCAATTTGGCTTCTAACTCTGTATGTGAGCATAATTCTTTTTCTGGCTTTATTCTGACATCACTTGACTTTGATACACGATCATTGATATTTCTCAAGTCTCCTTGAAGTTTTACTTCACTTGACTTTTGGGTACACAATCATTGACATTTCTCAAGTCTCCTTGGTGTAATTCTTACTTCACTTGACTTTTGGGTACATTATCATTGACGTTTTTCTCAAGTCTCCTTGATTTAAGTCTTACTTCATATGACTTATGGGTACATAATCATTGACATTTCTCAAGTCTCCTTGATTTAAGTCTTACTTCATATGACTTATGGGTACATTATCATTGACATTTCTCAAGTCTCCTTGGTGTAATTTTTACTTCACTTGACTTTTGAGTACATTATCATTGATGTTTCTCAAGTCTCCTTGGTTTAAGTCTTACTTCACTTGACTTATGGATACATGATCATTGAGATATAGTAAAGAAACACCTGTTTGTTAGGTAAAAATAAGAACTTCTACTAAACTGAAGTTACCAATGTCATGTTACATAAATGCCAGTTAATCTCGAAACGCACCATAAGAATTTAATTTTATTTTCACATTAAAACTTATGGACGGAAACTATTTACATTACAAGTGTTATGAAAAGGTGCTTATCTTTTGGTCCTTTTGCTAAGGCATGGGAATGTTCATGGATTTTGTGTATATATCATGACTTTTCTCAATAAGCTAAATACTTGTAGATTTTTCTAAAAATCTAGGTGCTTGAATATTTATTATCTGACAAGAATATTATCATTGAGCTTTGCAAAAAGAGTGATACTAGACATAATGTAAAGTCATCTGAATCTTCCATTGTTCAATTGGTAGAGTATCCTCTTAACAAAATGGGTTTTTGACATGTAAAATAATCAATGTCTACCTGGTTTAAATATGAGGGGTATCCTCATATCAGAATCAACCAAGTGTGCTATAGTAAGATAAACTATTATAAAGTTAGCTAACTATGACATATCAGAATCAGCCAAGTGTGGTATAGTAAGATAAACTATTGTAAAGTTAGCTAACTGTGACATATCAGAATCAACTAAGTGTGCTATAGTAAGATGAAATACAATACAGTTTACTGAAAGTGACATATTAAAATCATTCAAATGTGCTGTAGTAGGAGGAATTATAGTAAAGTTAGTGGAATATGATATACCAGAATCAGTTGACCTGATATTATAGCATGAATTATAATAAAAACTAAATATGGTATACCAGAATCAACTGAATGTGATATGATAGGATGAACTGTAGTACAGTTAACTGAATTTGATATATCAGAATCAACTGAACATGATGTAATAGAATGAGCTATAGAATATTTAAATGAATGTGATATATCAGAATCAACTGAACATGATGTAATAGAATATTTAAATAAATATGATATACCAGAATCAACTGAATGTGATATAATAGAACTAACTACAGTTTTTGGACAAACTGTAAAGTAAGTTATTTTGTCAACAGTTGAATAACTTTTATTTTCCAGATTATGCTGAAGTTCATGAAGAGGAAGGAGACTATTCAACACCAGTTGGTGAGAATAGTTATTTTACTTTTATTCAACACAAGTTGGTTAGAATAGTTATTTTACTATTATTCAACACCAGTTGGTTAGAATAGTTATTCTACTTTTATTCAACACCAATTGGTTAGAATAGTTATTTTACTTTTATTCAACACCAGTTGGTTAGAATAATTATTTTACTTTTATTCAACACCAGTTGGTTAGAATAGTTATTTTACTTTTATTCAACACCAGTTGGTTAGAATATTTATTTCATTTTATTCAACACCAGTTGGTTAGAATAGTTATTTTACTTTTATTCAACGCCAGTTGGTTAGAATAGTTATTCTACTTTTATTCAGCATCAGTTGGTTAGAATAGTTATTTTACTTTTATTCAACACCAGTTGGTTAGAATAGTTATTTTACTTTTATTCAACACCAGTTGGTTAGAATATGTATTTGACTTTTATTCAACATCAGTTGGTTAGAATAGTTATTTTTCTTTCTTTTTAAATCCTTATTAATTAGTTGAAAATACAAGAATAGACATAGCAGGCATTTTAGATGATGTCTAAGTGTTGGCAATTTATTTGAAGGATTTCTAAGATGAAGGAAGCTGATAAGTTTTACAAGGTGTCTCTGAGCTTAGATGGTAAAGAAATGTTAGATTATCTCATTATATATGTTATTAAAAAAATCTTAACCTCCTCTTTTCTGACAGGTCAGGATTATGAGATATGTAGGTCTCGGGTCACTTGTAATGACATTATTGGGGAGGGTCAGTTTGGAGATGTCCATCAGGGTATGTTTCGGACAGAGGTGAGAATACTTCATGTTTATGTTAAGTAACATTGTTTCAAGTTTGCAGGGATATTGTATGATAATGTATTTTAAGTTTATTGAAAACCATACAGTTTAAATTATTTTGTTCAAGATAACTTGTATGGTGAACTGCTAGTTATCACCTTACAGTGTTCTGATCATCCATCCTGATAATTTACTGTAGGTACGAAGCTTTAGTATGCTTGTGCAATTCACACCAGAAGGAAACATAAACAGATATATTAAATTGTTGTTCATGTGGCAAATTATCAAAGCAGTTTGGTCGTGCACTTTTTATAGCATTAATGACTGATTAATATTTATATAGAAATGCTGCTTAGCCATGAGAAATTTTTAATTTTATGCAGAGTTTCTCACTGTATGTGCATTCCCAAATTTTGTATGTGAAATATCTATTTTGTTTATTTTATTTATTACTCCATTAAGACTTTAAACATTCAAATATCAATAGAAAGTTGTAAGATATAAATTTAATACTGTACACCTACCTCCTATGTTCCATGCATTTATTGAATCATTAAGAATCTTATAATTTTCATAAAAAGGTCAGTGTTGAATTTTGTTTCTGGTTTTAGTTTAGTTGGAAGCACATATTCTTCAAGATGATTTTATGTATATATTGTTATGTAGCATACATAGTTTGTTTCGTGCTTTAGCAAAGATAAAATCTATTTCTATAATACTTTAAGTTATTAAGATGAACCTAACTGCTTTATCTTTTTTCATTTAACTATGCTATTTGCACCAAAGTGGCTAGACATTTGAAAATTGTTAGACAAAAAAAAGATATTAATATTATGGAAAAAACTTTACACCATGAAAACATTCAAAACAAGTCATAATTAATAAATTAATTTTTACATAAACTAAATATATATATTATCATTAAAGAATAAAAAATAGGCAAAGTTTCTGTGATCAGTAACCTGTAGTTTAAGTGACTCTGGGGTAATGGGTAATTTAAATTTTATTGTAATTACCAGGCTGGCATGACTGGTGGTTAGGGCACTTGACATATAACCTGCAAATCGTGGGATCAAAACCTGGCATTTGTGGTTGCTATTATAATGTTCAATCCCACTATTCATTGGTGAAAGTGTAACCCAAGAGTTGGCAGTGGATTCTGCCAGCCGTTTATCATCCCTCTGGTTGACAGTTCAAAATTAGGGACAGCAGCAAATAGACTTAGTAGCTTTGCCATAAACAAAACAGATAATTTTAACAACTCCTATGGCTTCTTGGCCAAGTAGTTTAAATATTTTTCCATAGATAAGAACAACAGTTATATCTCACTTTAGTCCAGAAATTGAGTAAGAAAGCAAGCAGTGCATTCAGTAAACATGAAGTACCTATTTTACATTTGCAAGACAACAGAAGAAATGTTACATTCTTGGTTTACTGCTTGTTTTTCTGCAAAAAATACAAATAAAAAATGCAGTATTACAGTTAATGTTATCTCAGTATAAAATTCATAGATAATGAGTGTGTATTAGAACTAGCATTAAATGCTGAATTCTAAGTTTAAAAATTCCAAATTAATACATAAAGAAGATCTGTTAAGTTTCATTGTGTGTTCTTAATGATTGAGAGGGAGTCATGCTTTCTGCTTAGCCATGACTTTATTGGTTAACCTTGAAAATAATAAAACAAAGATATCTTCATATTTGCTAAAGAAAAATAAATGTTTATGCATTAGTTTGTAGCAGTTATTTTATCATACATTAAATAGCAACTGGCCTTTACATAAAAAAATCAGTTAATTATACAGACTTCATTACTTCTCACTATGTAATACTGTTTGAATCCTGGCGTAGTACCTGTTACTCCCCTCACTTGATTTAACTTGTTGAGTGTGTGTACGAATGTACATCTATCACTACTTGAGTAATTTAAAACTGTTGTAGGCACTTGAAAAAAACAACAAAAAACTTTTTTTTTCTTTGTGATATTGTAGGAGGCTGACCTGTTACCAGTGGCCATCAAAACTTGTAAACTGGAGAGTGACCCTAATATCCGGGAGAAATTTTTGGAAGAAGCATGTAAGTAAATTGGTGTAGGGATTTATTTTTTGTGCACATGAACATGTATGTAACATATTATGAAATAAGATTATGCACATGTTAAAGAAATGCATGTTAACAAAAATGAAAAAAAAAGAAAAGAGCATTATATACTTGTTTATCAGTGTTCCAGTTATGATTTCAAAATACAAGGGTGCTAACCAAGGCACCTTAAGGCTAAATCTGACATTTTTGAATTTTGAGAGGGCAATTCAGTCCAGGATCTGGGCATTTAAAATGCAAAAAATGTCACCTGATAACCAATAAAAATGAGTTCTCTCTTTGTTTGACATTTTTCTGATGTTTACATTACAATGATATATAAGTAATACCAAAACAGACTGAAAATAAACAACTAAATGGCTGTAAAAAGACTAGCCAAAAACTTAGTACCAAAAAGAATGAATGAGTTATAGTGAAAGATTGAAGAGCTCAGAAATTTAGCAGGGACATTAAAAGTCTTTAAGAAATTTGGGAGGAGAGTACAACTCTTATATTGATACCTAGCTAGAATGCTATCCAGTTAATGTTTTTTTAAACTATCCAACTATATTTAGGAAATAAGAACATTCTTAAAGTATAATACACATATTTAGATTATTATCAATCATTGTAATGATATAACAAGAACACTCAGTGCTACCTGTTTAAAAAAATTGCTTCAGCTAAATATTCATTTAGATGTAGTTGCAGAAAACAGCATTATAGTTTTCAGCCTAAATTGTAGCAATGTAATATTACTGCAGACGTTTACTGCAATAAATTTTCTTTATTTCATAATTTCCAGAAGTCATAACATGAGTTTAAGAGTTCTATTTGTATTTTTTATCCAGATTCAGATAATTAAGTTGGAAAGCTGAAAGACTTATTTTTACAGTATTGACCAGACTGTGTTAATTTTTGTTATAGTGTGTTATTTATTAAAATTTAATTGTTGTAATTTTGAAAGGAATACTATGAAATTGTTAATCTTGCAGGAACAGTCTAATACTAAAATTCTCATATTTTCAAATGTTTTAATTTTTCTCGCACAGTAAATTCAAATAAAAAAAAGGTTTAATAAAGCACAGAGGAATATATTGTGTATAACATGGAAGTACCTTGAAGAGAAAAAACAAATGTTCAATAGATTCAATGTTAAAATGTTATTTCATTAAAACAAAAGTCCATTACAAAATTTTATTACAATTGACATTGTAATTGACTTGTCAAGATATCAGTCACTGTAAGGAATTTGTATTTATTTATCTGTTAGTAATTTTATATAATTCACCACACTAAAATAATACAAAATTTATTGATTGATCTTATTTGTAATACTAATTCTCTTCATAGTTTATCTTCATCTGCAAATGATGTGGATCTCTTCCTATAACTGAATGTCATAAACAGACTGTTTTAAAATATATATATATGACATTTCACATGGATACGTAAGATTACATAATTTCCATTAATATATACAATTCAGCTAGGCCTACTGTGTAACTCTTAATATATTTGGTTATCAACAGCAATATTCTTGTTAGTGGTAAAGACTGTCATCATTAACTAAGCTAACAGTAGAAACCCATTTGTTACCATTACAAATCTTAAACTGTAAAATTCTTAATTTAGTAAATGTTTGGGCTCTAGTTTATATATATATATATCACTGCTTGAATGAAGAAACTATTTTTCTCGAAATGCAGTTTTAAGAGCAAATAACACTCACTGAGGATTGTGGCTAGTAAAAGTTTTTTCTCGTTTCTACAGATGTTATGCAGCAGTTTGACCACCCACATATTATCAAACTGATTGGTGTTTGCTCACCACCTCCAAGTATGATTGTTATGGAGCTTGCTAAGTATGGACAGGTGTGTTTGTATAGTTCAACTTTCCACCTGACTTCAGTTTATTGCCAGAGGATCTTCTGTCTGAAAAATGAAAATTTGATTCTGTGTCTAAAACTAGAGAGAGTAAATAATAAAGGATTCTGTACTGAGATTTGTTTTGAGAAAAAGATATTAAATATTTGTATGATTTTACTCACACACACATACACACAAATATATATATATATATATATATATATATATATATAT